AGAGCTTCAAAGTCCACACAGATGTAAGTACAAGGCTTTAAACCTCTTTTATTCACCACTAACAGACTGCAGCTCTGAGGGGATTCCAGCTTTAAGTTTGTGCCTCAAATGTAGCTGTGCTTCATTCTCTTTATATCAGATGCAGATGATAAACGTGTAGCTTTGCCTCTGACACAGAAAGTGCACTTTTATCTGATCTTCTTCTGTTCAGTGTGAGCGGTGGCTCTTTCTCTTTAATGACCCATGGAGACTGTTGTTGTCACAGCTGCTTTTTATTCTCTGCACAGATAACATTGAAACACTGAGAATAAACTGGTAGTGGACTCTCTGTGCTCAGTCTCGCTCTCGTCTCCACTTCTTCAGGAAATTTTTGCAGAATTCATATTTGACCAAGAAGGAAGATTGAGGAAAATCCAAGAGTTCCATTCAAACATGTATTTTGTTGTTGCACTAAATGTGGCTGAGATAATGTCTGTGCTGTCCCTGTGTCCTAAAGCTGAGCTCTGAGCGTGCTCCTCTTAGCGCTCTGTATTTCCCTCCCCCACAAACATGCTGATTTATTGTCTCCCACAGAATGTCCACTCTCTCCTTTTTGGGCCCAGTCTGTCGTCTGTCTCTAACCACAGCTTTGAGCTTCATTGAAAACACAGTTCACTTCAAATGATAATCTGATAAACAACAAACAATGTCATTAACAAATGCACATCAGCATTCATCTCAACTGTAGATTACTTTGTAAATTACTGTAGATTACTTTGTAAATTACTGTAGATTACTTTGTAAATTACTGTAGATTACTTTGTAAATTACTGTAGATTACTTTGTAAATTACTGTAGATTACTGAAGAAGATGACAAAGTCTGGGATCGCGTCTTTCATTCAGACAGAAGACATGTTTTATTGTCGATGGTAGAGACAGCACGAACAACACGAACAACAGAATGCAAGTGTATTATACAGAGCGGAGGCATGGAGACCTCCAATCAGCAGCTGCCACAGTGCCATGTAGCTTGGCCTTCAGATAGACACAACAAGGGAAAAGTACTGGCTTCTGCACATTGATAGAATGATGAGTTTAACTTTAACAAAAGTTGCTTAAAAGTGTTGTGAAATCTCACATTACTCTGTAAATGACTGTAGATTACTTGGTAAATTACTGTAGATTACTTTGTAAAATACTGTAGATTAATTTTTAAATTACTGTAGATTAATTTGTAAGTTACTGTAGGTTACTTTGTAAATTACTGTAGATTAATTTGTAAATTACTGTGGATTATGTATTAAGAAGAAATTGACGCTTTTTTATATCTTAATTTTATATAAAGTGTTGAAAACAATGTTCTGTCTGATGCAGTTGCACTTCTGGTCTCTCGCCGCTAGAGGGCAGTAACGCCTCCTCAGACAGACCGTAGATTAGACATTCACAGTCTCTGGGTAAATGTTTGTTTAAAGGAATATCTAAGGAAAAAAGACAAGAATTAGAGTTGGGTGTGTTTTGATCATAGTTTTTAGAGTCAGAATTTAGTTGGAGCCGAGATCAGAGACATTTAAACTGAATAAAGAACTTTATTAAGGTTTAAGTTAAAACACAAACTGGTTTACTGTAAACGGAAGAGACGCTTTTTCAATCTCAGTCTTTATCAGTTTTATCAGAGCCACTCCTCGTTAACAACCTACACACACACACACAGACACACACACACACACACACACACACACACACACACACACACACACACACACACGTGGCATAACCTTTATAGGGACTGAAAAACAGACATTTAGAACATATGTCTGTTTTTCAGTAATGTTTATTTCTACGTGTTTTGTAAAGCGTCTTTGAGTGTCCAAAAAAGCGCTATATAAGTTTGATGCATTATTATTATTATTATTATAATTCATAATAGAATAATAATAATTATTATTCTATTATAATAATGAGTTTTATAAACGTCATCCTGTTTCTCGCTTCCATCAAACAAAACTCCACATTTTTATTCACAACAATCATTAATTCTATTCCGTCCTGACTTTGATAAATGTGTAATGTGTTTTTATTTCTCAAATGTCTCCAAGAAGTGTTTAAGTCTCAAAGTCACAGTTTTTCTCCTTTAAACACATCTAGGATCTGAATGTAACAAACAAAACAGATAAATAGATATAATAATATATAATATAATATATATATTTATATTTTATATATATTTTATAATAATAATGAATAAAGTCTGCTCTGGTTTTGCTCAGACACTTTTCACCCACATGGTCTCAGAGAAAGTCCTGAGTCTGATCCTGGTCCAAAGTCCTGAGTCCTCTGTGATAAGGTGGGTCCTGCTGGCACAGTCTCACTCCTCCTCAGCTCGGTCTCAGCTCGGTCTCAGCTCGGTCTCAGCTCGGTCTTACCTCGGTCTCAGCTCGGTCTTACCTCGGTCTTACCTCGGTCTCAGCTCGGTCTCAGCTCGGTCTTACCTCGGTCTCAGCGCGGTCTCAGTTCTCTGAGATGGAAAACACGTACGAGACGCCGATGGCCGGAGAGTACGACTTGACCTCCGGGGACGCGACCTACGACCTCCTGCTCAGCCCGGTCCCGGACTCTACGATCTACGAGTCCGTGTACGAAGAGCCCTACAACCTGGGGGCCCAGTACGAGAACACAGGGGGCCCCAGGATCCCCGGCCCCCCCTCACTGCCTCCGCCACGGCCGCCCCTGGCAGGTAACGCATCTGTGTGTGTACTGTATGATCATGTGTGTTACTGTTGTGTGTCTGTGTGTGTACTGTATGATCATGTGTGTTACTGTTGTGTGTCTGTGTGTGTACTGTATGATCATGTGTGTTACTGTTGTGTGTCTGTGTGTGTACTGTATGATCATGTGTGTTACTGTTGTGTGTCTGTGTGTGTACTGTATGATCATGTGTGTTACTGTTGTGTGTCTGTGTGTGTACTGTATGATCATGTGTGTTACTGTTGTGTGGTGTGTGTGTACTGTATGATCATGTGTGTTACTGTTGTGTGTCTGTGTGTGTACTGTATGATCATGTGTGTTACTGTTGTGTGTAGCTGTGTGTGTACTGTATGATCATGTGTGTTACTGTTGTGTGTCTGTGTGTGTACTGTATGATCATGTGTGTTACTATTGTGTGTCTGTGTGTGTACTGTATGATCATGTGTGTTACTGTTGTGTGTAGCTGTGTGTGTACTGTATGATCATGTGTGTTACTGTTGTGTGTGTCTGTGTGTGTACTGTATGATCATGTGTGTTACTGTTGTGTGTCTGTGTGTGTACTGTATGATCATGTGTGTTACTGTTGTGTGTGTCTGTGTGTGTACTGTATGATCATGTGTGTTACTGTTGTGTGTCTGTGTGTGTACTGTATGATCATGTGTGTTACTATTGTGTGTCTGTGTGTGTACTGTATGATCATGTGTGTTACTGTTGTGTGTAGCTGTGTGTGTACTGTATGATCATGTGTGTTACTGTTGTGTGTCTGTGTGTGTACTGTATGATCATGTGTGTTACTGTTGTGTGTCTGTGTGTGTACTGTATGATCATGTGTGTTACTGTTGTGTGTCTGTGTGTGTACTGTATGATCATGTGTGTTACTATTGTGTGTCTGTGTGTGTACTGTATGATCATGTGTGTTACTGTTGTGTGTCTGTGTGTGTACTGTATGATCATGTGTGTTACTGTTGTGTGTGTCTGTGTGTACTGTATGATCATGTGTGTTACTGTTGTGTGTCTGTGTGTGTACTGTATGATCATGTGTGTTACTGTTGTGTGTCTGTGTGTGTACTGTATGATCATGTGTGTTACTGTTGTGTGTCTGTGTGTGTACTGTATGATCATGTGTGTTACTGTTGTGTGTCTGTGTGTGTACTGTATGATCATGTGTGTTACTGTTGTGTGTCTGTGTGTGTACTGTATGATCATGTGTGTTACTGTTGTGTGTCTGTGTGTGTACTGTATGATCATGTGTGTTACTGTTGTGTGTCTGTGTGTGTACTGTATGATCATGTGTGTTACTGTTGTGTGTCTGTGTGTGTACTGTATGATCATGTGTGTTACTATTGTGTGTCTGTGTGTGTACTGTATGATCATGTGTGTTACTGTTGTGTGTAGCTGTGTGTGTACTGTATGATCATGTGTGTTACTGTTGTGTGTGTCTGTGTGTGTACTGTATGATCATGTGTGTTACTGTTGTGTGTCTGTGTGTGTACTGTATGATCATGTGTGTTACTGTTGTGTGTCTGTGTGTGTACTGTATGATCATGTGTGTTACTGTTGGTGTGTCTGTGTGTGTACTGTATGATCATGTGTGTTACTGTTGTGTGTCTGTGTGTGTACTGTATAATCATGTGTGTTACTATTGTGTGTGTCTGTGTGTGTACTGTATGATCATGTGTGTTACTGTTGTGTGTCTGTGTGTGTACTGTATGATCATGTGTGTTACTGTTGTGTGTGTCTGTGTGTACTGTATGATCATGTGTGTTACTGTTGTGTGTCTGTGTGTGTACTGTATGATCATGTGTGTTACTGTTGTGTGTAGCTGTGTGTGTACTGTATGATCATGTGTGTTACTGTTGTGTGTCTGTGTGTGTACTGTATGATCATGTGTGTTACTGTTGTGTGTCTGTGTGTGTACTGTATGATCATGTGTGTTACTGTTGTGTGTCTGTGTGTGTACTGTATGATCATGTGTGTTACTATTGTGTGTGTGTTACTGTGTGTGTACTGTTGTGATCATGTGTGTTACGTATGTGTGTTACTGTTGTGTGTGTGTTACTGTATGATCATGTGTGTTACTGTTGTGTGTCTGTGTGTGTACTGTATGATCATGTGTGTTACTGTTGTGTGTCTGTGTGTGTACTGTATGATCATGTGTGTTACTGTTGTGTGTCTGTGTGTGTACTGTATGATCATGTGTGTTACTATTGTGTGTCTGTGTGTGTACTGTATGATCATGTGTGTTACTGTTGTGTGTCTGTGTGTGTACTGTATGATCATGTGTGTTACTGTTGTGTGTGTCTGTGTGTACTGTATGATCATGTGTGTTACTGTTGTGTGTCTGTGTGTGTACTGTATGATCATGTGTGTTACTGTTGTGTGTAGCTGTGTGTGTACTGTATGATCATGTGTGTTACTGTTGTGTGTCTGTGTGTGTACTGTATGATCATGTGTGTTACTGTTGTGTGTCTGTGTGTGTACTGTATGATCATGTGTGTTACTATTGTGTGTCTGTGTGTGTACTGTATGATCGTGTGTGTTACTGTTGTGTGTCTGTGTGTGTACTGTATGATCATGTGTGTTACTGTTGTGTGTCTGTGTGTGTACTGTATGATCATGTGTGTTACTGTTGTGTGTCTGTGTGTGTACTGTATGATCATGTGTGTTACTGTTGTGTGTGTCTGTGTGTGTACTGTATGATCATGTGTGTTACTGTTGTGTGTCTGTGTGTGTACTGTATGATCATGTGTGTTACTGTTGTGTGTGTCTGCGTGTGTACTGTATGATCGTGTGTGTTACTGTTGTGTGTCTGTGTGTGTACTGTATGATCATGTGTGTTACTGTTGTGTGTCTGTGTGTGTACTGTATGATCATGTGTGTTACTGTTGTGTGTGTCTGTGTGTGTACTGTATGATCATGTGTGTTACTGTTGTGTGTCTGTGTGTGTACTGTATGATCATGTGTGTTACTGTTGTGTGTGTCTGTGTGTGTACTGTATGATCATGTGTGTTACTGTTGTGTGTCTGTGTGTGTACTGTATGATCATGTGTGTTACTGTTGTGTGTCTGTGTGTGTACTGTATGATCATGTGTGTACTGCATGATCATGTGTGTTACTGTTGTGTGTCTGTGTGTGTACTGTATGATCATGTGTGTTACTGTTGTGTGTCTGTGTGTGTACTGTATGATCATGTGTGTTACTGTTGTGTGTGTCTGTGTGTGTACTGTATGATCATGTGTGTTACTGTTGTGTGTCTGTGTGTGTACTGTATGATCATGTGTGTTACTGTTGTGTGTCTGTGTGTGTACTGTATGATCATGTGTGTTACTGTTGTGTGTCTGTGTGTGTACTGTATGATCATGTGTGTTACTGTTGTGTGTCTGTGTGTGTACTGTATGATCATGTGTGTACTGTATGATCATGTGTGTTACTGTTGTGTGTCTGTGTGTGTACTGTATGATCATGTGTGTTACTGTGTGTGTGTCTGTGTGTGTACTGTATGATCATGTGTGTTACTGTTGTGTGTGTCTGTGTGTGTACTGTATGATCATGTGTGTTACTATTGTGTGTGTCTGTGTGTGTACTGTATGATCATGTGTGTTACTGTTGTGTGTCTGTGTGTGTACTGTATGATCATGTGTGTTACTGTTGTGTGTCTGTGTGTGTACTGTATGATCATGTGTGTTACTGTTGTGTGTCTGTGTGTGTACTGTATGATCATGTGTGTACTGTTGTGTGTGTCTGTGTGTGTACTGTATGATCATGTGTGTTACTATTGTGTGTGTCTGTGTGTGTACTGTATGATCATGTGTGTTACTGTTGTGTGTCTGTGTGTGTACTGTATGATCATGTGTGTTACTGTTGTGTGTCTGTGTGTGTACTGTATGATCATGTGTGTTACTGTTGTGTGTCTGTGTGTGTACTGTATGATCATGTGTGTACTGTATGATCATGTGTGTTACTGTTGTGTGTCTGTGTGTGTACTGTATGATCATGTGTGTTACTGTTGTGTGTGTCTGTGTGTGTACTGTATGATCATGTGTGTTACTATTGTGTGTGTCTGTGTGTGTACTGTATGATCATGTGTGTTACTGTTGTGTGTCTGTGTGTGTACTGTATGATCATGTGTGTTACTGTTGTGTGTGTCTGTGTGTGTACTGTATGATCATGTGTGTTACTGTTGTGTGTGTCTGTGTGTGTACTGTATGATCATGTGTGTTACTGTTGTGTGTCTGTGTGTGTACTGTATGATCATGTGTGTTACTGTTGTGTGTCTGTGTGTGTACTGTATGATCATGTGTGTTACTGTTGTGTGTCTGTGTGTGTACTGTATGATCATGTGTGTACTGTATGATCATGTGTGTTACTGTTGTGTGTCTGTGTGTACTGTATGATCATGTGTGTTACTGTTGTGTGTCTGTGTGTGTACTGTATGATCATGTGTGTTACTGTTGTGTGTCTGTGTGTGTACTGTATGATCATGTGTGTTACTGTTGTGTGTGTCTGTGTGTGTACTGTATGATCATGTGTGTTACTGTTGTGTGTCTGTGTGTGTACTGTATGATCATGTGTGTTACTGTTGTGTGTCTGTGTGTGTACTGTATGATCATGTGTGTTACTGTTGTGTGTCTGTGTGTGTACTGTATGATCATGTGTGTTACTGTTGTGTGTGTCTGTGTGTGTACTGTATGATCATGTGTGTTACTGTTGTGTGTCTGTGTGTGTACTGTATGATCATGTGTGTTACTGTTGTGTGTCTGTGTGTGTACTGTATGATCATGTGTGTTACTGTTGTGTGTGTCTGTGTGTGTACTGTATGATCATGTGTGTTACTATTGTGTGTGTCTGTGTGTGTACTGTATGATCATGTGTGTTACTGTTGTGTGTGTCTGTGTGTGTACTGTATGATCATGTGTGTTACTATTGTGTGTGTCTGTGTGTGTACTGTATGATCATGTGTGTTACTGTTGTGTGTGTCTGTGTGTGTACTGTATGATCATGTGTGTTACTGTTGTGTGTCTGTGTGTGTACTGTATGATCATGTGTGTTACTGTTGTGTGTCTGTGTGTGTACTGTATGATCGTGTGTGTTACTGTTGTGTGTCTGTGTGTGTACTGTATGATCGTGTGTGTTACTGTTGTGTGTCTGTGTGTGTACTGTATGATCGTGTGTGTTACTGTTGTGTGTGTCTGTGTGTGTACTGTATGATCATGTGTGTTTTTGTACAGTATTTACAGACACCATGTTTATTTTCCTGGTTTGATCTTGGTATCGATGGTTTCTGTGACTTTGGCTTCGCTTCAGATTCAAATTCAGACTTTATTGATTCTTCCAGAGACGATTCCACAGAAAATATCAAACAATAAAAGAAGGGATTAAAGTGGAGCCCAAACTGAAGAATACACTGAATATACACAGACACACCTCCACATGGTCCTGGTCCCTTCCACCTGGTCCTAGTCCCCTCCATCTGGTCCTAGTCGCCTCCACCTGGTCCTAGTCCCCTCTGTTCCTAGTCACCTACACATGGTCCTCGTCCCCTCCACCTGGTTCTAGTCTCCTCCACCTGGTCCTCGTCCCCTCCACCTGGTTCTAGTCTCCTCCACCTGGTTCTAGTCTCCTCCACCTGGTTCTAGTCCCCTCCACCTGGTCCTAGTCCCCTCCACTTGGTCCTAGTCCCCTCCACTTGGTCTTAGTCCCCTCCACTTGGTCCTAGTCCCCTCCACTTGGTCTTAGTCCCCTCCACTTGGTCCTAGTCCCCTCCACTTGGTCCTAGTCCCCTCCACTTGGTCCTAGTCCCCTCCACCTGGTCCTAGTCCCCTCCACCTGGTCCTAGTCCCCTTTACTTTGTCCTTGCAGCAGTTTGTGCAGAAACAGAACTTATGTTAACTTATAGTGCACCATAGAACCACCGTGACCTTCTGCGCCGCCATCTTGGATTGTTGTGGACCTCAGAGACGCCGCCATCTTGGATTGTTGTGGACCTCAGAGATGCCGCCATCTTGGACCGTTGTGGACCTCAGAGACGCCGCCATCTTGGACCGTTGTGGACCTCAGAGACGCCGCCATCTTGGACCGTTGTGGACCTCAGAGACGCCGCCATCTTGGACCGTTGTGGACCTCAGAGACGCCGCCATCTTGGACCGTTGTGGACCTCAGAGACGCCGCCATCTTGGACCGTTGTGGACCTCAGAGATGCCCCCATCTTGGACCGTTGTGGACCTCAGAGACGCCGCCATCTTGGACCGTTGTGGACCTCAGAGACGCCGCCATCTTGGATCGTTGTGGACCTCAGAGACGCCGCCATCTTGGACCGTTGTGGACCTCAGAGACGCCGCCATCTTGGACAGTTGTGGACCTCAGAGACGCCGCCATCTTGGACCGTTGTGGACCTCAGAGACGCCGCCATCTTGGATTGTTGTGGACCTCAGAGACGCCGCCATCTTGGATCGTTGTGGACCTCAGAGATGCCCCCATCTTGGATCGTTGTGGACCTCAGAGACGCCGCCATCTTGGACCGTTGTGGACCTCAGAGACGCCGCCATCTTGGACCGTTGTGGACCTCAGAGACGCCGCCATCTTGGATAGTTGTGGACCTCAGAGACGCCGCCATCTTGGATAGTTGTGGACCTCAGAGACGCCGCCATCTTGGATCGTTGTGGACCTCAGAGATGCCCCCATCTTGGACCGTTGTGGACCTCAGAGACGCCCCCATCTTGGACCGTTGTGGACCTCAGAGACGAGCCCAGGGTCCATCATCAGTAAAAGAGTCACGTCTGGAACCAAAAAAACCCAAATCATGAATAATTACTTTATTATTACTATTTCTGAGGTTTATTGGACCAGCAGTGAGTCAAAAATACCAGAAATACATCTTTTTGACTACTTCCTGTTTCATTTAGAGCCGAGTTTAGGGGATTTTTCTTCTACTTTTAACCAAGTGTTTCTGACCTTTTGTGACTTTATTTTTATCATTATTATTATCATTATCATTTTATTATTATTATTATTTTATTTTTTTATTATTATTTTTTTATTATTATTATTATTATTATTATTATTATTTTTTTTTTATTATTATTATTATTTTTGCCATTTTATTCTATGGTTTGTGTTCCTAGTTTTATTGCAGCGTATTTGATTATTTCTTTATGGATTTTATGGTAATTCTAAACTCCTCCTCCTCCTCCTCCTCCTCCTCGTCTCCTGTAGATCGCAGACGGGACAGTGCTGCCTCCTCTTCCTCCTCCTCCTCATCCTCCTCTTCCTCCTCCAAGTCAGACAGAGGTGATGAAGAGGAGCAGCTGCAGAGTCAGGTCTCCACCATGGACCTGTCCTCAGACCAGGCCAGAGAGGAAGAGGAGGAGAGGAGCCGGAGGTCTTCATCATCCTCTTCATCCTCCTCTTCATCATCATCAGCTTCAGAGAAAGAGGAGAAGAAGAAACCGGAGCCAGAGGCGCCGCAGATCTCCCTCTACACAAAGGTAGTTTTATACTTTATCTATGGTTTAGTTTAGTGTGTAGTGTTGTGTAGTGTAGTATTGTGTAGTGTTGTGTTGTGTTGAAATACTAAGTAAGTAAAGTTTATAGATGGCACCTGTCACTCACACAGAGGTGGGCGGGCCCAGTACAGGAGGCACAGACCTACTGTACATGTTTTTAGTGGCAGGGGAAACCGGAGCACCCGGAGGAAACCTACACTGACACAGGGAGAACATGCAAACTCCACTCTGAAAGGCCCTGTTCCGATCGGGATTCAAACCCAGGACCTTCTTGCTGTGTGTGTGTGTGTCTGTGTGTGTCTGTGTGTGTCTGCGTACGTGTGTGTCTGTGTGCGTGTGTGTGTGTGTGTCTGTGTGTGTGTGTGTGTGTGTGTGTGTCTGTGTGTGTCTGCGTGTGTGTGTCTGTGTGCGTGTGTGTGTCTGTGTGTGTGTGTGTGTCTGTGTGTGTGTGTGTCTGTGTGTGTGTGTCTGTGTGTGTGTGTGTCTGTGTGTGTGTGTGTGTGTGACTCAGGTCCATATCTGACGGTTGTGGGTCACACATTAACTCGCTGCAGTCATTTAACGATCGAAACACAAAACTACAGACCAAGAACCCAGGCCCAGACCAGGAACCCAGGCCCAGACCAGGAACCCAGGCCCAGACCAGGAACCCAGGCCCAGACCAGGAACCCAGGCCCAGACCAGGAACCCAGGCCCAGACCAGGAACCCAGACCCAGACCAGGAACCCAGGCCCAGACCAGGAACCCAGGCCCAGACCAGGAACCCAGGCCCAGACCAAGAACCCAGGCCCAGACCAGGAACCCAGGCCCAGGCCAAGAACCCAGGCCCAGAGGGACCATTGTGTGTCCGTTACTAAGAGAAGAGTCACTGCTTCCTGCAGCGTCGCCATGGAAACAGGACTGTAGTATTTAAAGGTGAATGTCCAAGGTCCAAGAAGTCGTAAAGTTTGGAGATAAAAGTCCCACTCTGGTGTCACTCTGGTTTCACTCTGGTCTCACTCTGGTCTCACTCTGGTTTCACACTGGTTTCACTCTGGTTTCACTCTGGTCTCACTCTGGTGTCACTCTGGTGTCACTCTGGTTTCACTCTGGTCTCACTCTGGTCTCACTCTGGTTTCACTCTGGTCTCACTCTGGTCTCACTCTGGTCTCACTCTGGTGTCTCTCTGGTGTCACTCTGGTGTCTCTCTGGTTTCACTCTGGTCTCACTCTGGTTTCACTCTGGTGTCTCTCTGGTGTCACTCTGGTGTCACTCTGGTTTCACAGGTAGAAAAGAAGATGTAGCTTTGACCGTGTTTTATTCTTTTATGAGACAAATGTAGAAAGAATAAGATGCTAATGCTAATGTACCTGTGTTGCTATTTTAGGGGATCACAGGTGTATGTTATGGATATTATAGATATTATGGATATTATAGATTTTATAGATCCATCCATCCATTTTCTACCCTTTAACCCATTTCTGGTGAGTCCACAGGAGGACGGCTGCTCTCTGAGTGTGAGCATAGCCTTGATCTTTCAGTGGGGGCTTTGACCGTTGTGGTAAAGAGGGAGCAGCGTCTGCAGTCAGAGCTGTATCGGACCGTTGTGGTAAAGAGGGAGCTGAGCCGAAAGGCAAAGCTCTCAATTTACCGGTCAATCTTCGTTCCCTCCCTCACCTATGGTCATGAGCTGTGGGTAATGACCGAAAGAACAAGATCGCGGATACAAGCGGTCGAAATGAGCTTCCTCCGCAGAGTGGCTGCTCCCTTAGAGATAGGGTGAGGAGCTCAGTCACACGGGAGGAGCTCGGAGTAGAGCCGCTGCTCCCTTAGAGATAGGGTGAGGAGCTCAGTCACACGGGAGGAGCTCGGAGTAGAGCCGCTGCTACTCTACGTTGAGAGGAACCAGTTGAGGTGGCTCGGGCATCTGTTCCGGATGCCTCCTGGACGCCTTCCTGGGGAGGTGTTCCGGGCACGTCCCTCCGGGAGGAGGCCCCGGGGAAGACCCAGGACACGCCGGAGGGACTATGTCTCTCAGCTGGCCTGGGAACGCCTTGGGGTTCCCCCGGACGAGCTGGAGGAGGTGTGTGTGGATAGGGAAGTCTGGGCGTCTCTGCTTAGACTGCTGCCCCCGCGACCCGCCAACGGATGAAGCGGAAGAAAATGGATGGATGGATGGATAGATATTATGGATATTATGGATATTATGGATATTATAGATATTATGGATATTATGGATATCATAGATATTATAGATATTATGGATATTATGGATATTATAGATATTATAGATATTATGGATATTATGGATATTATAGATATTATAGATATTATGGATATTATGGATATTATAGATATTATGGATATTATGGATATTATGGATATTATGGATATTATAGATATTATGGATATTATGGATATTATAGATATTATGGATATTATGGATATTATGGATATTATAGATATTATGGATATTATATATATTATGGATATTATGGATATTATAGATATTATGGATATTATAGATATTATAGATATTATGGATATTATGGATATTATAGATATTATAGATATTGTGGATATTATAGATATTATGGATATTATAGATATTATAGATATTATGGATATTATAGATATTATAGATATTATGGATATTATGGATATTATGGATATTATGGATATTATAGATATTATGGATATTATGGATATTATAGATATTATGGATATTATGGATATTATAGATATTATGGATATTATAGATATTATGGATATTATGGATATTATAGATATTATGGATATTATGGATATTATGGATATTATGGATATTATAGATATTATAGATATTATGATATTATGGATATTATGGATATTATAGATATTATGGATATTATAGATATTATAGATATTATGGATATTATGGATATTATAGATATTATGGATATTATAGATATTATGGATACTATGGATATTATGGATATTATGGATATTATAGATATTATGGATATTATAGATATTATAGATATTATGGATATTATGGATATTATAGATATTATGGATATTATAGATATTATAGATATTATGGATATTATGGATATTATGGATATTATAGATATTATAGATATTATGGATATTATAGATATTATGGATATTATAGATATTATGGATATTATAGATATTATAGATATTATGGATATTATGGATATTATGGATATTATGGATATTATAGATATTATAGATATTATGGATATTATAGATATTATAGATATTATGGATATTATAGATATTATGGATATTATAGATATTATAGATATTATGGATATTATAGATATTATGGATATTATAGATATTATAGATATTATAGATATTATGGATATTATGGATATTATGGATATTATAGATATTATAGATATTATAGATATTATAGATATTATGGATATTATGGATATTATAGATATTATGGATATTATGGATATTATGGATATTATGGATATTATAGATATTATAGATATTATAGATATTATAGATATTATGGATATTATGGATATTATAGATATTATAGATATTATAGATATTATGGATATTATGGATATTATGGATATTATGGATATTATGTATATTATAGATATTATGGATATTATAGATATTATAGATATTATGGATATTATGGATATTATAGATATTATATATATTATGGATATTATAGATATTATAGATATTATGGATATTATAGATATTATGGATATTATGGATATTATGGATATTATGGCCTCCTCTCCTTCACCTCCTTCCTCTCCTTCACCCCAGCCCTCACCTCCCTCCTCCCCCTCACCCCAGCCCTCACCTCCCTCCTCCCCCTCACCCCAGCCCTCACCTCCCTCCTCCCCCTCACCCCAGCCCTCACCCCAACCCTCACCTCTCTCACACCTCCCTTCTCTCCCTCACCTCCCTCACCCCAGCCCTCGCTCTCCTCATGGGGGTTATTTTTGGCCAGTCCCGCCTCGGCCTCTGTCACACACACAGTCCTGGGACCGTCCTGTTTAGACCCTGGACCTGTTTAGACCCAGGACCTGTTTAGACCCAGGACCTGCTTAGACTGGGGACCTGTTTGGACCCAGGACCTGCTTCTCCGCTGCTGGGACTATGGACCCCTCTCTGGACCTGGTCTGGACTTTCTTTTAGACTCATTCACGGACTTAAACAATGACGCATCCTGCAGACAAAGATCCAGACATTGAGCTGTTCGTGAAGGTTCGTGATCAAAAACCTCCTCAGTACTTTCTCTAGACCCCATCTCTCTCCTGAACCCTCCGTCTGCAGGTTGTTTTGGTCGCGTCCCCTTTAAGATGCATGCCATCTTGTTGTTGTTAGATTTTCCATGTGTAAACCTGACACCCACGTGTGCTCTCAATCTCTCCCCGTCTCTCTCCTTATCAATAAATCATAACCATGTATAAATATTCAGATAATCGTTCTCCTCCTGCAGTAAAACCTCTGCCTCTTTCTGCAAACACATGATATTCAAACATTAGTAGAGTTTGGTAAAGTGTGTCAGCTTTTAGCCACGCCCACACACCGTTTTGTTGTGTATAATGTGATTTTTAGGCAGTTTTAAAAGCACAAAGCAAATATTAGAATGTGCAGTGAAGCCGGAGAGACGTGGTTTATTCATGTGGAGTCTGTTTACAGGCTCCTGTTGCTCCGGACACACTCGGACAGCCACAATCATATATTATATCATTAAATATTTGTTTTACTATGTACATATATGGCCCAGTGTGTTTGTGGCTGTAGAACCCGCAGGACTAGACACACGTGGCAGAAGTACTAGAGTAAAAGTAAATGCCTGAAGTAATATAAAAGGTCCATTCAAAGCTGGTGGTTGTATTTCACTGGTTCAGAGTAATACTGTGTCTAATGTTTACAGTTGTTTTAAAGCAGAATTGTTATGTTTTATGGAACTGGCAACAAACTGGGATCTTTAAGGGACTTCTCTGTTTTATATCCAAGGAGTCACATGTACAAATATATGGATGGAATATGGAGATAGATAGATACGTCACATGACCCTCTGATGTTGTTGTGTGTGTGTGTGTGTGTGTGTGTGTCTGTGTGTCTGTGTCTGTGTGTGTGTGTGTGTGTGTGTGTGTGTGTGTGTCTGTGTCTGTGTCTGTGTGTGTCTGTGTGTCTGTGTCTGTGTCTGTGTCTGTGTGTGTGTGTGTGTGTGTGTGTGTGTGTGTGTGTGTGTGTGTGTGTGTGTGTGTGTGTGTGTGTGTGTGTGTGTGTGTGCAGGCAGGAAGTGACGGCGAGAGCATTGGGAACTGTCCGTTTTCTCAGCGTCTCTTCATGATCCTGTGGCTGAAGGGCGTGGTCTTCAACGTCACCACGGTCGACCTGAAGAGGTTAGTCCACTTGAAGACGCACACACACACATAAACACACACATGCAGACACACACACACACACACAGAGGTGGGTCGACCTGAAGACCTGAAGAGGTGACAGAGGCTGAGTTACAGGGCAGCACTTATCAGCTCGGGTTACCTATAGACACACACACACACACACCCACACACACACATACACCGGCACACAGACATACACACACATGAACACGCAGACGCACACGCAGGCCGTGTTAGGGTCAAACGCTGTGATTTAACCCGGTGGAGGTGCTACACGGATACCTCTGTCATGTGACACTGAACACAACATGTATGTGACTCGTGGAGGAAACAGAAGAGGAAATAGACACACACACACACAGACACACACACAGACACAGACACACACACACACACACACAGACAGACACACGCAGACACACACACACACACACACACAGACACACGCAGACACACACACACACACAGACAGACACACACAGACACACACACACACACACAGACACACAGACACACAGACACACACAGACGCACACACACACACAGACACAGACAGACACAGACACACACACACACACACCCACACACTCACACACACACACACACACACCCACACACTCACACACACACACACACACACGCACACACACACACATACACGTTTTTGTTACCTGGTGGGTCCCTTTGACAGGGCCGTTCAGAATGGGACCCATAGACATAATCTTTTTTTACTGGGACTACTTTAAGTAATACAAAACAGTCAATAGAAACCAAACAACTCTTTTAAAGGAATTTTATTTTAGATTTTTTTTTTGAATTGCAGTGATTCTATTTTTGACATAGAATTTAATGCCACTCCATGTCCGATGTCTAAGGTCATCTGGTGAGGCATTAATGCAGGCCAGGCAGTGAGACTTCCCAGGGACCTTTCCAGTCTGTATGAAAGGTGTCATGGTCTTCTCCACAGCCTTCACCTCAGATGCAGACCATGGCTTTCTCTAACGTTCTAGGGAGAGAAATAAAAATATATTAGCAATATACACTCCCAGGGTTAGGACCAAGCAGCCTGGCTGTAATCCCCCACCTGGTACACTTACCAGAAGGGGCACTGCCACTACCATGGGGTGCATCTGGATGAATGGTTGAAGGTTCTCCGCTTGAAGTATCTTTTAGCCCGTCCGTTTGTGAGAGGATCTCTACTGCTCTCCCTGTCGCACAGAAAATAAAAATACAAGTGGCCTTTAGGGGAAAAAAATCATACATATTTTAATAATATCAAGAATTACCTTCAGGCTCAATTTGTATCTGGTCGAGGCTCTTTCCTTCGAATTCCGTCACTCTTCCCTGCTCCATGGCCATCAACACTTTGCTGATTTTGGCCAGCTCCAGTGTCCCCTCTGGTAGTCTGTAATATTGCCTGTGGATGCGAATGTCATGGCCGAGGAAGTTGGCAAGTATGTCCATCTCATTCTCTTTCATATTGAGAACTGTAGACATAGTAGCTATGTGCTTTCTAAGTTTGGTTGAGGATAGCATCTCTGGATGCACCGCACCACATTCTTTGGCTACCTGGCGTAGGGAGTCTGATCCCCTGATGTGGGTGTCTGCGCCCGGGCGGGAAAAGAAGTATGGGTTATGGTCAGAGATGGAACAGGCCCTTCTGTTCTCCACCAGCACCTCCATCGAAGCAATCATTTCAGGAGTCAAAAGAACCGGCACTTTCCGACTTCTTTTCCCTTTAATTTCAATGCGTTGAAAATGCTGACACAGCTTTTTCTCAAGTTGGGACAGTCCCAGAGCAATGTCAGAATGGATCCCAGTCTTACTTCTTAAGGTAAAGGCTGTCAGTGGCATCTTTGAAACCTCACCTTCCCTTCTTCGATTGAAAATGA